AAACTTTGTAATTACATACGCTATCATTTGTATTTATATTTTACAAAAAAATTCCTTTAGATAAATGGCAATAAAAGATCCCCTCCATCTTCTATTATTTGCTGACTCATTGTGCCTGAAGTGAATGTTTTTGTTTGTGCTCTTGTTTAAAGCCGCAGTCACGCCGGACTGTTGCGTTGTAAGGATCGGCAGTCCTAATTTGATGTGGTCTTGGCAGGAAGGTACAGTTCGGGGAACGTTAGCTAGTTAGCTATTAAAATAGCGTAAAAAAAGAGCCTCTTTTAATGATGTATGGTGCGTGAAATCGAGCTCCAACCTCATTTACATATCATTTACGCCCTAATTCATGTTGATGTTTCGGTAGGGAGCCAATAAAACGACAGCGTTCAGCAACTCATGAGCCAATGGCTGTGCTCGTAGGCAGAGTTTGAAGTTGCACTGCTCCCCCTACTGACCAAATTTTAGTGTTAAAATTATGACCAATAGAAAACGTGAAATAAATAAAACATCTTAGTGTTTAATAGACAGTACAGAGATGTTTTTGTGTAATTTAAAATATATTAAAACACTGTATTGTTGCAGTGTTTGAGATGCTTCTGCACTAGCTGTGTTTTGTATTGTTTATTTTGTGGGCGGAGTCAGCAGTATAAACCAAAAACACAAGGTAATATGTCTTTAAATGAAAATGGAATAGTTGCGTTTGTTCATACCAATATTCATCATGAAAGAAAAATTTGAAATCGCACTAATATGCCGTAACGAGTCATCCTTAGGTTATCGAGCTGGAGTAGGTGGAGCTAGTAATGATGCAAACCATTGATGGGTCAAACGTAATCATCAAGGAAACATCATGCGGTGTCACTGGAGTTATGGTTCTGTTAAGCAATGGAAAACATACACAGGTTAGGCGTCCATTTTAATACTGGATTTAGCATGACTTCGTCCACTTGGCCTCCCCATTTCCCCTATGAGGAATCCACGGCGCCATCTTATGGCCCATCCTATTACTTTTTAGAGCTCAATTAAAGTTTATTAGGTGAGCTCTCTGAGGGGCGAGGAATCATGTGAACCAAAAAAGAAAAATCGACTTCAGCAGCAGAACCTGCCCAGAAATCATTGCGAACTTCACTCTACTAACTTGCTAGTTAGGATGCGAAAGGCTTCATGGCTGACAACAAAAAAAGGCACAACACAAAAGTTCCAAATATTCTCACATCATATGTGTGTTCAAATAGCATTTTGCATCATAAAGTTTGCTTGGCTAGCTGATTAGCTCACTGAGGATGACCTAGCCGAGGGTCAGTTCGTCCCGTTCCTCCTTCTGCCTCAAGTACACACTTGTGTAACTTAGTTAGGCCAGTCACTACAATACCCAGCATGCATTACGCAAATACATTACGCAACCATTGCCCTCCTGGGCGATAAAGAAAAGAAACCTCGACTGTACCCACTGACGTAGAAGCTCATAGATACAGACATGACTTTAAGCAAATCAAATGATATGCTCTATAAGTGAAAATGAGTGAACACGTTCACTACAGGGAACTTAAATAAGACGTTTTCTGCACACTTTAAGGAACAATTTCTGTTTATTTGTTGAGTTGAACACATTGGAAAAAAAATAAACATAAAAAACATAAACCATAACTTTTGCACAGGCCACACTTTACGGTTTTCTTCTTCTAAATATCTTAAATTCCGCAAGTAAACAGTAATTGTGCATGGTTAATGGTTAAGGTGTCGACAGAGTCTTTCAGAGTGGTTTGGTGTGAAACAGCGTTTGCATATCTAGCTGATTAGCTCACTGAGGAAAACCTAGCCGAGGGCCGGTTCGTCCCGCTCTTCTGCCGCGAGCGGACATATGTGTAACTTACTTTGGTGAGTCGAAGCCGCCGAGGGCATGTTAAGGAAGTATTAAAACGGAATCTGGAATTATCTGTTTCTGCCATTAAGAGGATCCGGCAGCCATCGGGCCGATCCCCGCCGGAACACCTGGGCTGGAGATCCATTTCCTGTTTTTGCAGCGCCAAACAGGAAATGAGTGGAGAATGGGCGGAAATGAGCAGACAGGCGGCGCGCCGCGGAGAAATGGCCGCCATTGTTATTGAAAGCGGGACCGCCGAAGGCAAAAGCGGCGATACCGGCTCTTACCCGCCGATAACAGCTATGAAAAGAGGCCTTAATGACGGCCTCCACCTGCCACGTCTTTGGTCACAACCTCTTCGTTTTTCATCACAGGTTCTGTACAGAACAGACTGTGATGAAATCTTATCACAGTTCATCACTTTGAAAGTGCTTTTGGGCAGATTTGTGGGGAAACGTTGAGCGACTTCAGGCTTAAAGATTCAGAGCCTTGAAAAAGGTTTAAATGCTACGTATTTACAGTCTTCCGGTTTGCATTTTGGAGTGCATTTAAACTTCCTTCAGAAATTTCTTTATGGTAAAATTGCAGAGGGGAGACTTTCGGCTGCGGCAAGCTGTGTTATTAATTGTTCTCGGATTGCTGTCTCACCTCTGAGAGCCCACGTTTTGTATTGATTATTTTATTTTTCTTACCACATGATCAATCTGCATCGACCGCTAGCGAGGCCACTAACAGCACTGGATCAATGAAGGCGTTGCCAGGCAGCATTATATAAACACCATTCGCCGGGTTGAGCAGCAGGTTTTTGGGGTTTTTTTGGATTTACAAATGAAATAAGTTGGTCATTAAAGTGATGTCACCAATTTTTCAAACCATCTGCATAAATAAACCATTAAGCAAAACAAAGTAAACAAAGTCATTCAGAGTGGTTTTATGGAAACTGATCCTTCCAGAGGAACTTGCCGAGTCAGAGTTGTTCACAGTGGTGGTGATAGGAACCAGACGTCCATCTCTAAAAGCTCCCTCACAGAATATTATTTCATGAAATGGTTATAAATACACTGCCTGCTGTCTGAGACACTGTTTTATGATAGTTCTGAGAAAGTTCTGTCCATTCACAGTGCACAGCCACTTGTAAAGCAAAAGGTTTTTTGCCTTCAAAAAACTTTGTAGGCTAAAAATGACAATGTTATGTCGAATGTAGGTATTGTTACATTTCTGTAGAGTGGTGTTAATGGGGCTCTCTGGCCTAAAGCTAGCATTTAATGTTGTTTGTACTGTAATGTTAAGTTTGGTAGAATTCACGATTTTGTATCCTTTTTTTGTCCAATAGTGTTCTCTCACTACAATACCCAGCATGCATTACGCAAATATATTATGCAACCATAGCCCCCCGGGGCGATAAAGAAACCTCGACCGCTAGCGTAGCCACTGACGTAGAGCCTAATAGATACAGACATGACTTTCAGCTTGCTAGCATAACGTTAGCTACTTAGTCGTATGCAAAAGTTTGATCAAGTCAAGTTATAAGTGAAAATAAGTGAACACATCCACTACAGGGAACATAAATGACATTTTTTGCAAATTTTAGTGCGAAATTTTTATTCATTTACTGTGTTATACATATTGGGGGAAAAAAAAAACATGCCATAACTTTTGCACAGGCCACGTTTGATGGTTTCTTCTCCCTCGGTATGTTAAATTCAGCAAAGAAACCATAATTGTGCCCAATTGAAAATAAGGAAGATTTTGACCAGGGCCAGCCAGATTCTTTCATATGACTATCTGGCTTGCTTCTCCATTAACCAGCTAGCAGGGAAAAAAGGACATTTTGAACCACCCTCTCTCATGTATCCAGTCTAAAGTGACTGCAGCTTTTCAGAAGCTCCTCTCACCTTCAAGATACATCATCAGAAGGGGCTTTTCTAGTCTTTGAAAGGGAAATTCTCCCTCTAGAGCAGGGCTGCCCAACGCTGGTCCTGGAGATTGTCCACCCAGTTGCAACACACCAGGCTCTAATATTCAGGTGATCCTGAAAGACTTCATCACGTGGGTCAGGTGTGGTAGATTAGGGGGTGGAGCTCCAGGGCCAGGATTGGACCCCCTGCTATAGAGCCTCCACCACTTTATGAGGCAAATAGGCATAGTTCAAATTTTCATTTCAGCTGAGGTGTGAATTTGATCGGTTTAGAGTCAGAATTGTTCACAGTGGTGGTGATAGGAACCAGACGTCCACCTCTAAAAGCTCCCTCACAGAAAGTTACTACATGAAATGGTTATGAATTCACTGCCTGATGACTGAGACACAGTGCATTTACATGCACTTAATAATCTGATGACTGCAGGAAATCAGATTTTGTCAGTAATCCGATCAACACATTTACATGCACTTGAGAAATCAGATAATGGGGAAACTCCAGGTCTACGTGAGTCAGTCACTAATCAGATTTTTGCTTTGCAACCAGCCAATAAACTCAGAAGAAGACGTGACGTAAACATAATGTATAACTCAAACTTAATGCTGCGGCTTTTTTTTAAAACATTGCGCCGCTTTACATGAAAATATGAACATACATCATCTAGAAGGTGAAGAATATTTAAATCCTGTATTTCTTGTTTGGTTTCAGTTTCGCTCTGAAAGTGTTTTGCGGCGTCTCACGGCGACGCTGCTCGCTTATTTCCAGTACCGCCGTCTGTTTCCGCTTATGTGCAGACTGAGAAATGCGAAAGAAATCAGAGTAAGAGTTTACATGCACTGAGAAATCTGATTACTGAGCTAAAATCCAGCTCTCCTTATCAGATTTTCTAATCAGATTTCTAGAGCGGAGTATGGTGTTTACATGAGCATTTAAAAAATCAGATAACTGCAGATTATGATCGGATTATTGAATGCATGTAAACAAGCTCACTGTTTTATGGTATTTTTGTGATAAAGTGTATTTATTATTATTTATTTAGTATTTCAATCCATTCATTTAATGGTGGAGGAATACATGAGGGCCAAAATAGTCCCTGAAGAAAATGTATTACGTCAGATTTTCCACTATTTTCCCATCATCAACATTCCATATAACCTCAGGAGACTCGTGTAGGTTCACTGGTGGTTTTGGATAGTAAAGAAAACGTCTATATTTGTGCTGTAGTCATGGCGACCCCTGGTCCCTATCACCACCACTGTAAAGACATCTGAACCATTTCACACCAAACCACTCACTATGTGAGTCACTATGTTT